TCCGCAGGTATGTTGGAAGCAATCAATTCCAAGTTAAATAATTCAGGTAAGGCTGTAGTTTTCTAAATAATTTTACAATTGCGTGGAATAATTGACAAGACTCGTTGATTTAGGGTTTATCGTTGGAAATATTTCACTTGAAAATTTGGAAGGAATGGACCGTACTGTATGTTTTTTTTCGAATCCCGTGTATTTTTAGTAATGCCTTCATTTTCTGGATTTGAACAGTTATTTCATCGCTACTATCAAGATTATCATCTAGTCTGGTTGGAGAATTTACTTTTTAATCGATTTCGATAATTGGAAAAGAGCAATCTGAGCTTCCATCCTTTTGTCTATTCGTTGTAAAATAGGCTTAACGGACCGTCTTCCAAGGGAATGATATATAGCGCACACTGAATATCCCTTGGGTTTTGTTGATGTATGCGGTATGAAATTGATCGATTCTTATTGGTCAATTTTCTTGTGCACGACTTTCCGCCCTCAACCGTTGATGTGCGCATGCATGTTTCCCGTTCTCGATTCTGATTGGACGAGTCCCGTATAGATTGATTAGAACCAATTTTTTGTGTTTTAAAGCGATTTCGTTTACCAAGGGGTTGATATTTGACCTTGAAACCAAGGGATTTCCTTATAGAGTTCAGTTTATTGACGGTGAATAAGTTATCGTACTGACGTATAGGCTTTGGGGGTTCGCGTGGGTGTCTCGACAAATAATCTGCAAATCCGATCTTTGCGCCTGGTTTATAATTTTTGACGAAGTCCAAAGGAATAAATCTGTCTAGCCATCGTGTTATTCTCGAAAATAGGGTTTTAATTTTCTTATTATTCCCGTTGAGTAGTGAAATTAGAGCTTTATGGTCTGTTATTACGGTAAATGATCTTCCTAAGATATAATTTCTAAAGTATTCGGCCCTCCACACAATTGTCAACATTTCCAGCTCGTTAGTGGAGTATTTCTTTTCGGCTGCGTTTAAAAATCGTGATGCGACTGAGCGCCACCCTTCGAAACCCAATTGTTCCAGAACTGCTCAGAGACCATTATGACTTGCGTCACATACAATTCGAATATCCTTATGGATATCAAAATGTTTTATTTCGACGATGTTTGCTACCCCCCAATTGGATATTTCGAAACGCATTTTTGCACTACACAGTCCATTTATAATAGTTTTTCTTGCTAAGGAACGGTCTTAAAGGCGCTGACAGTTCTGCTATAGGCTGTAGGTATTTATGAAGGATGTTGATTGAGCCCATAAATGATTTCATTTGTTTTACAAATTTTGGGGCCGCTAGTGCGTCGATCGGCGCCGTTTTCCGTTTCAAAGTTGTTATTCTCGATTCCGTTATGCGGTGTCCGAGTCACTCGCATTCTCGCTTTGCGAACTCATATTTGGGTAGTTTCAAAGTTTCAATGATATGTTTTCTCGATTTAATTTTGTAAGAATTTTTTCAACCAAGGATATTCCACTTCAGTTCCCTTGGTTGTAACCAAGATATCATCAATAAAAGCGTTTGCTTGAGGAAATTTGTTCAAAATTGAGTCCATTACCCGCTGGAAATTGGCCGGCATCGACGTTAATCCGTAAAATCCCGTCCAAAACCAGTACGTTCCGGTCGATCGCCCGCCCACCAGTGAGAAATTTTAATGCACGCTTGTTCTTCACTGAGTGGTAGTTGCCCGTACGCATAAGTTAAATCCATCGTGATAAAGAACACGACCCTTGTTTTTTCTCGGAATAAGTTGTCCTATTGTATCTACAAGTTCTTCTATATTCGGCATCTGATATTTGTTTTCATGCACCTGTTTATTAAGTTCTCGTGATTCAAGCGCTAATTTTACGGAGCCGTTCTTTTTTACGGTAATCACAATTGGCGAAAGAAAATATCGATCCGAACATTCTTGTAGTTTTTCTCTGTGTCACTGGGCCATTAGCTTGTCGATCTCCTTATCCACTTTGTCTTGGAGTGTCACCGGCACTCTCCGACCTTTTCGTTGCACCGGTATGAGATTTTTGAAAAATTCGTCTTGGACCTTATCATTCCTAATTTTTCCAGTTCTAGTTGAAGTTTTTGGGAAAAGCTTACTGAAATATTGTTGCCAGGTGTCCATGTTCTGTTCTTCTGTTTCTCCAGCTTGCTCATTCTCGCATGCGCTTCCGCACCTTGGATACTCAAAATTGTTCCCCTTGGATCTGCTTACATGAGTTGTAGGCCCAGTTTCCCCATGAAGTCACCTCCCACGATTGAGGGTCTGGTTCTTCCGATGAACCTGACTTCCGCTCGTGTTTTCCATCCGTTTCATGCTAACTCCTCATCGATTTATCCCAACAAGTTAATACGATTGTTACTAGTCGTCTTCCTTGTTGTTCTGTTTCAAGTCGATTCCAGTATTTTCAATGTTTTCGTCAAGTCGTCAAGTGTTAGTATGGATATAGGCTATCCGCTGTCTATCTAGATATTCATTGGGTGTCCATTATTGTAGATTTTCAGCTTTGGCCCAGCAATAATTAGTAGTGTCTCCTTCTTACGTCCTATCGCCATGACCATATAATCATCGGAGCTCTCCGATGACCAGCGGCGGTGTTCCCTTTTTACGAAACCTACGAAGTTGACAGCATGCTGCGAACCAACTTCATCCGAGGGAGTATCTTCTCCTTCAAACATCTCGTAACCTTGGATAATTCCGTTTGATGTTCCCCCACGTGACAGTCTCTTTCCCTTGCAAGTCTTCTCGAAATGCCCCACTTTCTTGCAGAAATTGCATGTGACGGATCTTTTTGGGCATCTTTGTCGGTGATCTGGAATGAAATTCGGCTGGTCGCAGTTATGACATCTCCGATCTGGCGTTCGGACCCCCCCCCCCCCAATTCTGGTGTGGTCCACGTCCCCTCTGGATTCCTCGTCTCCTTGGTCCACGAATGTTACTGATCGGTTCCGCATTATTTGCAGAGAACCCTCGGCTCTTCAGCGCTTCCTTCGGGGTTTTTGTTTCCCGGTACAGCTCGTTCTGTGCGTCCCTGTTCCGCATATTAAAGATGAATATGTCCCTCACCTTTTTTCGTTCCTGGGTACCCAGATTATATCTTGCTGCCATTCCACTGAGTTCTGTGTAGAAAGACTGCAAACTCTCCCCTTCCTTTTGTTCCCTGGACACTATTTGGTACATTTCGTAAGTTTCATTTCGCTCCTTCTTGAAAAGAGCTACACAAATGTCTAAAAATCTCGGGTAATGGATCGTTTCCATATCCAAGTGTGGGTGCTGATTATGCAGTGCCCGCTGTCCCTCGTGTCCTAGACATAAGTACAAGTTTGAGATCAGTGTCCTTTCGGAGGCCTGATTCGGAGGTCAGAAAGTGACAATTCCTAGGGTTTTTTCCCCCACTCCATCCACTGACTGCGCCATATCAAGGGTAAGTAAAACGATACGATTGTTAAGATTAAATTCAACTTGATGCTAGCGCATATAATTCAGACACTGAACTAGAGGTCAACAACTAGACAGACCTAGATTGACTGACAGGCAGGTACCAGCTAACACTTAGTAGTGATATGAGAAACTCTCAAGAATATAATTAATGATAGGTAACAACTGAAATGATTGACATCTTAATATGTAGCCCTTCGCAGTTCTATCCTGAGGTTTTGGGCTCAATCGAAGAAACGCTTTGTGGGAAGCTCCCCTGCACAAGTAGCTACTCCGTGGTTTTTTTTCAAAAAAACTGCCGTTTTGGTGTTTTTTTGATTTTTGATATATCTCGGGAACCATCCTTCGTATCTAGGATTAAAAACTCTGAAAAACTTAGAAAAAAAGTGTGAAAACCTTGTAGAATCAGCGGCTGCGCCCTGATTTCGTAAAAAAATTATCTGGTTTTTACAAAGTCAAGTTTTTGTATTGTTGCCGTTTCTCAATTGAGAAAACACATGCCCCTTCTCTGCATAGGCGGGTACGACTTAATTTTTGGAGAAAAAATGTATGATTTTTGGATAAATCATACATTTGAACTTTTGACAATTTCGGGAAACTTTTTGATCCTTCTCGAAAAGTACCTGCCAATTCTGAGACTAACAGTTATATCGAAATATCAGGTTGTAAGCTTCTTTCGGCATAAGCTGGCACGATTTCGTGTCTTTAGAAAAAGTCATGTAAAGAGAAATGTAAACTTTGTATATTTTTGTGACCGATTACACCTTTTTTTCTATAAAGACCGGATGTATGGCCTTATCAAAGTCCATTTTTCAAATTTTTATTGTTTTTCCGAAAAATTTTTCCATTTCTCTTGAAAACTACCCTGCCAAATTTGACATTGAGTACAGTTGAAAGACCGGGCAAAAGTCTTCCCTTCATGAATCCGTTAATTTATTGGCAAAACCACTAGTGTTTTGGGTAAAAACCAATATCTGAAACTTTCAAAATTACGACTTCCATCCCGCATCAGTACAACATATTCTAAAAATATCAAAAATGTATCACTAGCTTTAGTTGGGCCCCTAGTTTTTAACAGATGATTGTTGACATTGGTGTTTTCTTATCATTCAACTGATTTTACTCATAAGCATTAGTAAAAAGTTTCATATATGACTGCAGTTTTTCTGAAATCATTGCACGAATTATATGGTCCAAGTTTTTGCTTCAAGTAAGTTTTAATGTTTCATGAAATTAAAACACATAGATTCTGGCTATTTTTGGGTCAATAAATCCAAGAAATAAGGATCTTGTAATTTGATAAATTTTGAAAGTCTTCAAGTGTGACTTTATCCTTCCTTAGAATTCAAAACTAAAACTTGCTGTTTTTGTTTTTTAAACCATGTTCACGTGAATTGTAAGCCTGGTTCGCCAGAAAATTTTTTGAAAAGAATATTACTGTCGTTGGATTTTCGTGGATTAAATTTTTTGATAAGCATTTTTCCATTATGTATATGAATAGAGCTGTTAAACGAAGGTAAGGTAGTCAATTCGCGTTGATCTACTTTTTAGAAAATAAACGGCTGTGTTTCAGAGCGACCCAAAACAGCTTCAGTAAGCTATTGCGACTTACACCCATCTGAATCTGTCAGATTCTTCTGCAACGAGTGCTCGGAGGCTATCTGTGCTCTGTGTTGGGAAGAAAAACACAGTGACTGGAAAAAACACAATGTCAGCACAATGTCAATATACATGAGACCCCAGAAGGAAGTTGAAGCACGCATTGCAGCTTACAGGTTAGAATGTGTGAATATGACTGGAGTTCTACAGGAATGGCAGCCTTGCATTGACCAGATTCAATCAGCAGAGCGAGCACAGAAAGCTGTTCTGAAATGTAAATCGGCGCGAGATATAGAGCAAAAGTCCGGCGATGTCAGAAATCACCTGTTGGCGCAAATGACAAATGTCCAAAATTATAAACGGAAGATTTTATCGCAATTTTCTGAAATTGAGGCTACTTATGAGCGAATTTTCGGAGACGAGGTTGAGGACTCCAAGTCTGATGGTTCACCAAATCAGTTGAACCAGGGCGCCAATACTTCAAGAGGAACATCTGGCCCTAGAATGACTGACAATATTACTAGTTCTCCCGGAGGAAGCTCTGTAACTGGGAGAAGTGACGGTGTTAGTGCTGGAAAGAAAACAGTAATTGAAGATAAGAAGAAGAAGGTTCTGACTGGAGTGAAGGAGACTTGGAAAGGAGATGAGATTGTTGAGTGTAGTAAGGTGGAGTTTAATGCTGAGTCTAGAGAATTGATGTGCTTTTATTTTTTAAAAAGCAAAATAACGGTACTGAGACTGAACGATAAAAATGAAAAGTTGGAAGTAAAGAGGACAATGAAGTGGAATGAGTTGAGAGAAAAGGAAAACGACCTGTGGGATATAACTGTAAACGATGGAAGTATTATGTACGGAGTGATTGAAGGGGATGGTGGAACTTACTTTAAAAAAGTTGAGGAATTGGATCAATTCAGTTTGAAAAAGAAATCAAAGCTAGATACTCAAGGATTGCCTAATGGCTTTGGTGTGCTCTGGTATTTGACCTCCTTTCATGACACGTTGGCTCTGTTAGTATATGATTTCAGGAATGAAGATGATCATAAGTGGCACAGCGTAACCGTTTACAAAAACAAGAAGAGAATGGAAACTGTTTCGCTTGAAATAAGCTTAAATGGAGGGGTGTATTGGAGTGTTTCTGCATTGGTTAATGAGAGCACGCTCCTATTATGTTGTGGTTTGAACAAAATAGCAGTAGTCACGCTGCCATCACAGTCACATTGCCATTCAATAGCGGCCTCATCATCATCATCTTTATCTTCAAGTACCACCCTGAAACCTCAATCAATCAAGTATGTTATTGCTGCTGGTGTGAGAGAGAACTGCTCTCTGGTTTGGATGCCAATTGATTCTCAACTTGGGGGATATATATGCGTGGGAGAGAGGGAGGGTGCAAAATTCTCCCGGATATATAAAATAAACCTTGGAACAGATTTGGCAAAAGTAGACGAGGGAAAGGAAACAAAGATGGAAGAGGTCGAAACTGTATCACCGTTGGAGAAGATGACTGTTATGTGCCTTGTTGACGATTACACAATTTTTGCAACTGGTGGAGAAAAATGGTTTGAAGGTCAACCAGTTGTTTTGAAATTCGATTTTCAGCCCATCTAACGGCATTTTCGATGGAACAATTATTCACTGGCATCCTCAATTTGTGCTTTTATGTTTTTAAATTACATTTCATATGTCTTTGATTTTGTAGACATTACGCTATTATTTACAACTGAGCAGTTTTTATAGTAATCTGCTGTTCTTCTGTAGTTGTTTGCTATTAACTTTCAATCAAACTTTATCTAAATTGGTCGTGTTGCAAAATTACACTGCAGAAAACGAAAGTCTACTGAAAAAATCTTCAATGAACTGAACGTTTATTTCAATGCACTATAATCAACATCACTGACAAATATACAAACCAATCTTTATTAGAGTAAATTCAATTTTGTTACTGCATTTTTTATAGCTAACCATCAACTCAGCAATAGAGATGTAACACTGATTGAAATTCATTGACATTTGCAAGGTCAGGCCAAGAAGAAATTGGTTTCCCCGGGAAAGGGTTTTTATTTTGCAAAATCAGTAAACCTCAGAAATGTCATCCTGGCTTTTCTCAAAAAAAAGTTAAAACTAATTGATCACTAAGGAAGCAAACTAACTGCTGTTTTGAAACAGTACCCGTACCTAGCAAACTTTCTATTTCAGATCTGGAATAAACTTTTTCAGTTCTAAATTCCAGATCTGAAATGGGCTGTGAAATAATTAAATAACGCTTGGATACTTTGAGGAAGGGCTATTATAGGTCTGATTTCAGATCTGAATTTTTGTTTTTCTTCGTTATTTGAGATCTGAAAAAAATCTGTTTCATCTTTTTTCAGATATAAAATTTAGTCTTTCTTGGTTATTTTAAATCTGCTAAACCAATGATTTTGGCTCAGTTTTGCTATTTTTGATACTTTTGGATCGGACAGCTTCTGCTAGCTACTAGCAAGTAGTCAGCAAAGTCTCCAATGGGAGACTGCCAAAATTATATTTCCCCACGATTGAGATGAACATTGGAAATGCATAAATAGCGCATGATAAATAAAAAATTTGATTTGTTGTAACAGTTTTTGAAAACATTTTATTACAGTTGAACGAAAAATTTAGTTCGAAAAAAAAACAGTTATCGAAATTGTTCGAAATTTTTTTTACCGCTAGTTAATCTAAACATAATTGTGTTTTACAGAAACATTAAAAAATAAAACTCAAGTAAAAAATAAAACATTAAAGCTCGAAGTGCAAAAATTATAATTTAAAAAAAATTTCTCAGATCTAATTTCAGATCTGAAATTTTGTTTTTCAAGGTTATTTCAGTTCTGAAATATCTATTTCAGATCATTATTTCGGATCTGAATTCAAATTTTTGATCAGATATGAAATAAAGAATTTCAGAACTTAGGGACAATACATGTAAGAATTTAAAACTTTCAGATATTCCACAGAAAAGGTACAGGTAACCAGAAATGCCGGGAAACTAAGAATAAAAAACTTGTGAATTAAACTGTTTTCTTGTCATGCACGATGACGTTAAAAAAACGTAGGAGCTATGGAAAGATTGTGTCAGCCCGCACACAATAAGGGAAAAGACTCAAAAGTTTTGATGTTTCTCTAATTTTTTTTTGCTATCATATGGCGGTTTTTGTTTAGGTCAATGAGAACACGCTTCTTTTGAATTACGACTTACTTGGCATTAACAAATTAGTAGATGTATTTTTGCCTGAAACTTTACAAAATCAAAAAGAAAGATTTCACCTCTATATGCCACGCAAGTCCTTGTCGCAAGTAGTAAACAGTGTCAAAAAGAAAGATTTCATATCTACATGCCGGGCAAATTCTTGTCACCATAACTAAAAATAATCATAATTATTGGCAAAAAATTCATAAAATGAGAAAAAAAATTCATAAATTAAATTAATACCGCCTGGAAGCACACGACTGGATGGACAGCAGTCTTCGCTTTGTTCGTATATCTATTTACCAAAACAGCTCACGGAAAAAAAAGTTGCTCAAATTTTCATTGCTTAAGTTTTTTCTATCGAAAAATTACGCAGCGAAACTTTCAAGTTTTTGAAATTTAACGAAAATCAATTTTTGATCCAATATCAAATCAAAGCAACAAGTGTTTCTTGCATTCAGCAACATGATTGTTTTATTTCATTCGACAAATATTTGATAATCTTATGTTGTTTTTGGAAGCATATTGTTATAGTTTTTCCTTTTTTTTAAGAGTGAACTAATTATGAATTTTTAAAAGGTCAGTTTTGTTTAAAGTTATGACATTTCAAATTTGATGCAGTTTTCTCTGTCGTAGTATCTATTGAGATATACCAGCATATAAAATTATTCATGAGTTTTCAAAATTAGCTGTTATAACGTTGCTTTAAGTATAATCAAAAACTATCAAGCCAATTGAAAATTTTGTGGAAGCAGATTTTGCTCTAGTTTTACATTACTGATATAATACCGGACGCACTACACATTGAGCCTCAACCATTACTTTTTGAAAGTAAGATATCAATGTGTAAAACGTTTTCCCGGGGTCTGAAAAATTTTCTCTCGGTTCTGACTGGTTGGTTGTGAGTTTTTTTCCTAATGTGTCACCTGCCAAAAATATAGCATCAAATGCTCCCATATCGTTTCAAAAGTCAAAAAGTTTTTACCATAACAAAATAAGCTATCCTTTTTTAATTATCTAGCAAAGTCAATAAGAAAGGTTTCACTTCTATATGCCGCGCAAGTTCTTGTCGTAATTAGTAAACAAAATCAAAAAGAAAATGTCATCTCTATATGCCGGGCATATTCTTGTCGCCATAATTAAAAATAATCATAATAAAATGGCAAAGAATTTGATAAAATGAGAAAAAATTTAAATTTAATACCGCCTGGAAGCACACGACTGGATGGACAGCATTCTTAGCTTTGTTCGTAGTATATCAATTTAGCAACAAAACAGCTCACTTAAAAAAATTTGCCCAATATTTCGTTGCTCAAATCTTTTCTATCGAAAAATTACGCCGCGAAACTTGGTACTTTTTTTGAATATAAGAAAATTTTTGATCCAATATCAAATCAAAGCAACAAAAGGGTTTCCTGCAGTCAGCAACTTGATTGTTTCTATTCAGTTGACAAACACTTGTTGATTTTATGTTTTTTTGAAGCATGTTGTTTTTTTTCCTTTTTTTTTTAATTGTGAACTAGTTATGAATTTTTAATAGTTATGAATTTTTAATAGTTCAGTTGTGTACAAAGATGTGATATTTCAAAAGTGATGCAGTTTTCTCTGTCGTAGTATCTATTGAGATATACCAGCATATAAAATTGTTCATGAGTTTTCAAAATTAGCTGTTATAACGTTGCTTTAAGTATAATCAAAAACTATCAAGCCAATTGAAAATTTTGTGGAAGCAGATTTTGCTCTAGTTTTACATTACTGATATAATACCGGACGCACTACACATTGAGCCTCAACCATTACTTTTTGAAAGTAAGATATCAATGTGTAAAACGTTTTCCCGGGGTCTGAAAAATTTTCTCTCGGTTCTGACTGGTTGGTTGTGAGTTTTTTTCCTAATGTGTCACCTGCCAAAAATATAGCATCAAATGCTCCCATATCGTTACAAAAGTCAAAAAGTTTTTACCATAACAAAATAAGCTATCCTTTTTTAATTATCTAGCAAAGTCAATAAGAAAGGTTTCACTTCTATATGCCGCGCAAGTCCTTGTCGTAATTAGTAAACAAAATCAAAAAGAAAATTTCATCTCTATATGCCGGGCATATTCTTGTCGCCATAATTAAAAATAATCATAATAAAATGGCAAAAAATTTGATAAAATGAGAAAAAATTTAAATTTAATACCGCCTGGAAGCACACGACTGGATGGACAGCATTCTTAGCTTTGTTCGTAGTATATCAATTTAGCAACAAAACAGCTCACTTAAAAAAATTTGCCCAATGTTTCGTTGCTCAAATCTTTTCTATCGAAAAATTACGCCGCGAAACTTGGTACTTTTTTTGAATATAAGAAAATTTTTGATCCAATATCAAATCAAAGCAACAAAAGGGTTTCCTGCAGTCAGCAACTTGATTGTTTATATTCAGTTTACAAACACTTGTTGATTTTATGTTTTTTTGAAGCATGTTGTTTTTTTTCCTTTTTTTAAATTGTGAACTAGTTATGAATTTTTAATAGTTATGAATTTTTAATAGTTCAGTTGTGTACAAAGATGTGAAATTTCAAAAGTGATGCAGTTTTCTCTGTCGTAGTATCTATTGAGATATACCAGCATATAAAATTGTTCATGAGTTTTCAAAATTAGCTGTTATAACGTTACTTTGA